ACAACCCTAAGCACACAGACAAAACACCGTAGGAGTGGCTTCGGGACAAGTCTCTGAATATCCTTGAGTGGCCCAGCCAGAGCCCGGACTTGAACCCGATCGAACATCACTGGAGAGACCTGAAAATAGCTGTGCAGCGACACTCCCCATCCAACCTGACAGCGCTTGAGAGGATCTGCAGAGAATAATGGGAAAAACTCCCCAAATACACGTGTGCCAAGCTTGGAGTGTCATACCCAAGAAGACTCGAGGCTGTAATCGCTGCCAAATATGCTTCAACAAAGTACTGAGTAAAGGGTCTGAATGTAATATTTCAGTTTAAATTTTTTATTAATTTGCAAGATTTTCTAAAAACCTTTTTTTGCTTTGTCATTATGACGTATTGTGTGTAGATTGATATATTTATATAGATTTATATAGATTGATGAGAAAAAATTAATTAATCAATTTTATAATAAGGCTGTAAAGTAACAAAATGTGGAAAAGGTTAAGGGGTCGGAATACTTTCTGAATGCACTGCATATCACCCCATCCCTATAGTTAACTAATAGATAGATCACCCCATCCCTATAGATAACTGATATATGGTAGATGGCTGCTCATATATTGCTCATATTATTTAACCAGGTAAGTCATTGAGAACACATTATCTTTTACAATAATGACCAGACCAAGAAGGAACAATGAGATACTAATTTTCAAGATTACAAAAACCTCTCTGTTCTGAGAATGATATAAACTGGTGCCGTGCCATTGCATGACCTTCAAAGTCATTCGTTTATCCAAGTCGAGCTTAAAGTTCAACTGCCCCTTAGGGTTTGGTTTGGATTACAATTATCTCAACAAATCATGCCCCCTTTTGCCTATCAACACGTGGTGGCACTGTGTTTTCTGGGAAAAGACTGGGCGAGTTCGCTTTGCATGGCTCGGTGCCACGGGCGGGCGGAGACCTCTCCTTAGGGGGACCAATGGAATGGTCGAAAATGTGCAAAACCCATCCACCTAGCGCACCGTGCCATGTAAAACGAATTCCCCAGACAACACAGTGTATCTTTGGCAGTAGCTTGATGTGCAATTCACATATGGATTGGGAAATAAAATAGCTACTCTAGTGAAAATGGCCTTCCGTAAAGTTTTTCAACAATCAGATGGCCAGGATATGGATTACATCCAACGCTAACTACAAGTTCTGCGGGCTGTCAAACGTGAGACTGTGCCTGGTGTTGTTGGTGACGGTGAGTTGGTTACACTAGCTAGCTAGCTATATTATTTGATAAAGCTAGCGAGTAGCAAGGTGTTGTAGAACGAGTGTCTCATTTAACACATTCCAGACACTGGTTCTTGCTACCTTGGCATAACTGTGATTTGACAGAGAAATATCAGCTAGCTAACACTAGATAGGTTGCTAGCCAGCTGCAGATAGCTATCCCCCAAGCTATGCTAACCAGCTGCAGATAGCTATCCCCCAAGCTATGCTAACCAGCTGCAGATAGCTATCCCCCAAGCTATGCTAACCAGCTGCTGATAGCTATCACCCAAGCTATGCTAACCAGCTGCAGATAGCTATCACCCAAGCTATGCTAACCAGCTGCAGATAGCTATCCCCCAAGCTATGCTAACGAGCTGCAGATAGCTATCCCCCAAGCTATGCTAACGAGCTGCAGATAGCTATCCCCCAAGCTATACTAACCAGCTGCAGATAGCTATCCCCCAAGCTATGCTAACTACCAGCTTTAAGCTTAGCTAAACACAAGGTCAGCGCCGGCATTACTTTCTATTCACCTCTTCCGCTCTACTTGACCCCACATGTAGAACTGAGTTGTGATTGAACGGCAAAGACACACCCCAAAAAACACCAACACGAAACCACACCCCGTAGACAACTCTTGTTTGCTTTCAGTCATGACTGCTTGCATTACTTCCCAGCTAACAAAATTACATTCCAGGACGTGACCACAAAGTTATTTTAGTCCCCACATAAGTCATAATAACGTTATTGTGAAACTTACAGACGATGTTCAAAAATGTATTTATATCATTATGATTGTAATGTTATAATGAAGACAAACCATAGCTCTAAATGTAACATTATGCAATGTTCCTAGATATCTCCAAAATAACATGACATTCAGAACCTTTCATGGACTACCAAAGAACGTTTTTAATGATCCCATGATGTCTGTATAGCGACCTGATATTTATAACCTCTATAATACTTATTAGAAACGTTATGAATGTGCCTATAATGTCCCAAAAGGGCTATGACATTCAGTACCTTTGGAAGACTTAAGGGGAATGTTACAAATGTCTCAGTTAAGTGCCTTGTTAGCTGGGTTAATGAGCGTTGATGAAAAATGAGGCCAAATCAGGAGGTGCAGTTCTCCTTTAACGTTAAGGAGTTTTACAAATCCAACAGCCATGTTATTCTCCAGGCCTATAACTTCACAGGATTCAAATTTAGTTTACAAAACATTAGGAACACCTTCCTAATATTGACTTGCACACCCTTTTGTCCTCAGAACATCCTCAATTTGTCAGGGCATGGACTCTACAAGGTGTCAAAAGCGTTCCACAGGGATCCTGGCCAACGTTGACTCCAATGCTACCCACAGTTGTGTCAAGTTGGCTGGATGTCCTTTGGGTGGTGGACCATTATTGATACACGTCAGGAAACTGTTGAGCATGAAAAACACAGCAGCGTTGCAGTTCTTGACACAATCAAACCGGTGCGCCTGGCACCTACAACCATACCCACGTTCAAAAGGCACTTAAATCTTTTGTCTTGCCCATTCACACTCTGATTGGCACACACAAAATCCATGTCTCAATTGTCTCAAGGCTTAAATATCCTTCTTTAAACTTGTCTCCTCCCCTTCATCTACACTGATTGAAGTGGATTTAACAAGTGACATCAATAAGGGATCATAGATTTGACCTGGATTCACCTGGTCAGTCTATGTCATGGAAAGAGCAGATGTTCTTAATGTTTTGTATAATAGAATAATATATGCCATTTAGTAGAAGCTTTTATCCAAAGCGACTGACAGTCATGCCTGCATTTATCGTATGGATGGCCCCGGGAATTGAACCCACAATCCTTGGGTTGCAAGCACCATGCTCTACCAACCGAGCTATAAAAACAAAAAGTAATGCACTATATAGGGAATAGGGTGTCACTTGGGACTCAACCCGACTCTGCTGTGCAGACATACAGTCGTTGAGAATGACACAAATATTAAATTTTCACAAAGTCTGCTGCCTCAGTTTTTATGATGGCAATTTGCATATACTCCAGAATGTTATGAAGAGTGATCAGATGAATTGCAATTAATTGCAAAGTCCCTCTTTGCCATGAAAATGAATTTAATTCCAAAATAACATTTCCACTGCATTTCAGCCCTGCCACAAAAGGACCAGCTGACATCATGTCAGTGATTCTCTCGTTAACACAGGTGAGAGTGTTGACGAGGACAAGGCTGGAGATCACTCTGTCATGCTGATTGAGTTAGAATAACAGACTGGAAGCTTTAAAAGGAGGGTTCTGCATTGTTCTTCCTCTGTTAACCATGGTTACCTGCAAGGAAACATGCTGTCATCATTGCTTTGCACAAAAAGGGCTTCACAGGCAAGGATATTGCTGCTAGTAAAATTGCACCTAAATCAACCATTTATCGGATCATCAAGAACTTCAAGGAGAGAGGTTCAATTGTTGTGAAGAAGGCTTCAGGGCGCCCAAGAAAGTCCAGCAAGTGCCAGGACCGTCTCCTAAAGTTGATTCAGCTGCGGGATGGGGGCACCACCAGTGCAGAGCTTGCTCAGAAATGGCAGCAGACAGGTGTGAGTGCATCTGCACGCACAGTGAGGCGAAGACTTTTGGAGGATGGTCTGGTGTCAAGAAGGGCAGCGAGGAAGCCACTTCTCTCCAGGAAAAACATCAGGGACAGACTGATATTCTGCAAAAGGTACAGGGATTGGACTGCTGAGGACTGGGGTAAAGTCATTTTCTCTGATGAATCCCCTTTCCGATTGTTTGGGGCATCCGGAAAAAAGCTTGTCCGGAGAAGACAAGGTGAGCGCTACCATCAGTCCTGTGTCATGCCAACAGTAAAGCATCTTGAGACCATTCATGTGTGGGGTTGCATCTCAGCCAAGGGAGTGGGCTCACTCACAATTTTGCCTAAGAACACAGCCATGAATAAAGAATGGTACCAACACATCCTCCAAGAGCAACTTCTCCCAACCATCCAAGAACAGTTTGGTGACGAACAATGCCTTTTCCAGCATGATGGAGCACCTTGCCATAAGGCAAAAGTGATAACTAAGTGGCTCGGGGAACAAAACATCAACATTTTGGGTCCATGGCCAGGAAACTCCCCAGACCTTAATCCCATTGAGAACTTGTGGTCAATCCTCAAGAGGCGGGTGGACAAACAAAAACCCACAAATTCGGACAAACTCCAAGCAATGATTATGCAAGAATGGGCTGCCCTCAGTCAGGATGTGGCCCAGAAGTTAATTGACAGCATGCCAGGGCGGATTGCAGAGGTCTTGAAAAAGAAGGGTGAACACTGCAAATATTGACTCTTTGCATAAACGTAATGTAATTGTCAATAAAAGCCTTTGACACTTATGGAATGCTTGTAATTATACTTCAGTATACCATAGTAACATCTGACAAAAATATCTAAAAACACTAAAGCAGCAAACTTTGAGAAGACCAATACCAATAGTGTGTGATCCTCTATAACCACAATTTCCACTATTAACTGTATTTGAGGATCTTACACAGAAGCCAATATAAGGTCATATCAACTCTATCAACAGAGAATCTCCATTGAGCATGCATTTTAGTCAAGGACTTAACCAAGACTTAAGCTGTTGTCTGGGAAACTGGTCCTAAATCAATAATCTGTATTGTGTTTCGGGCACGGCACTGGGATTGTCAATATTGTTAGTTTAGTTTCCTTCCTAGTAAAATAAAAAAAAGGATACAGTCTCACAGCTCCACTCTGTGTCCCGATGGCCAGAATTTTCTGCACAGGGTCAAAGGCCATGGAGGAGGGCCGGTAGGGGAAGCCATGGCGCACAGTCTGGAGGAGAGAGGAAGAACACAATCTGTTTTAGCTAGCTGCTACATTACATCCAGATGCACTCTTTCACAGACATAGTGAAGTACTGTAGTACTGTTATGTCATCTCATGTTTTATATAACCAGGAAACTGTCTGACATTGAGAGGCATTCATCGTCTAAATACCAACGATTAATGCTCAGTTTAAATCCATATCTAGCTGAGTGTGTCCCTTTTTCTCAGAACCAAAAAAGCCACATATTTCTAGTAAGGTAGCTAACTTGACAACAAGCTAGGTTCTCTCTCTGTCAGATCATTGGGCAGCTGCTGTAGTTTGTTAGCTAGCTAGCTAGCCAACAACAATGTCTGGATGACCTAGTTATCTATTTATAATCCAGAGAAACTGGATTATTCCGTTTTCATTTATGGCTGGCTGTTGTGGATACGAATAGTCAAAGGCCTGGCGTCATTTAGCTAGCTAGTTTGGCAGCGGTGGGATGAAGCTGTAGCCAATGGCATTTCCAGAAATGGGGACCGTGAGAGACAGTCAGTTGATTACCAATACATTCCTCTGCTGGTTTGACAACTAGCAAGACTAGTAGCTAGCTGTCTACCCCCTAACTACAAGATCAGCACCAATGCAATATCAGCATAGACACAAATAACAATAATACAAACTACTATTGACACACAGAAAACTGCCTAGCTAACGTCAATGTTTTAGAAATCACGCGCTGTTATCTTCAATGATTCCCAGCAAAACAACCGTCGCCGGCTTAGTTAACCGTAGCCCACCTTGCAGAGCTGAAAATGCTCCGATTGTAGCGTCTCTTGGATCACATCGTTTTGATTAGTTCCCGGTTGTGGAGATGCAGAGGAAGACGAAGCAGTCAAGCCGTTTAGCACTTTTCTGATATTGAACTTCTTCATTTTCCACCAATACAGACGAGGACGAAACACAAAAAATGGATCAACGAAGCCACCATAAATTTGATATAGCGGTAACAGTTACCTAGATAGCTAACTGCTAGCTAACGTTAGCTGCTCTAAAGACGCACACTTGGCTAATATCTTGTTCTGATAATCTCACATGTTACAGACGGTGTTGTCACCGCACTTTCCATAGCATAATTCACAAGTACACAGTTTATGAACATTAATGCATTGTCGAAAATATTTGTTTTATCCATCGATAGAGTATCCAGTCGGAGTCGATCGTAACGTAAGCTCTCCTGAAGCAGCCACTATCAGCTAGCCAGCCCAGCTGACGCGGAACCGCAGTGACGAGTCTGCGCGGTAGAGGCAGCAACACGGATGTAGGCTATACATTGGAGCCAGGAAAGTAAAAATCTAAATAAATCTGTATTTTTGGAAACCTATGTTGGAAAACAAATGATGAATCACTGAATAAGATTGTAACCTTCAACATTAAGCACCATAAATCAATTGTCTTATCCAGCGAGTTTACTAGACAAAGTCACAAACCAAGCGCTCATCCAAAGACAGTACAGTATGAAGATAGGCTAAAACTGAAATCCACGATCACACTTGTAGGCGATGTCATGGCTACGTTGGCTAAGTAGACGCATGCGTACAAAACACGTCATCGGGGATAACGGTCGTCTCGTGCCGAACTGCGCATGTGCAGGCCGTCAAATCAAAGGCACTCGTTCGATATAAAGTAGTTTTTGACGAAAATTGGTTGGTCACTTTTAGGTTGGAGTAATAACATGTTAAACTACTTAAGACATTGGTTCGAATCTCACTGAGACGAGCGCGCTCAGAAATCAGAATAGATGGCCAGAGCGAATTTCCGAACGCACCTTAGGTTGTGCCTTTAGGTTTCGACAACTACGGAAGAACGTTTCACTTCTCTCATTGCCTTCTCAAACCACGGCCTGGTCTGTTTCGCAAGCGTTCCCGGAAGTCTTGCGGTGTTGCGCCTCTGGGTTTAAAAACTCTGTGGCTCATCATAAAAAATATCACATACTTATAAGTAAAGTGACAAATTCCTACCACCTGGCTCTGTTGTGTCTGCATGGTTAAATGGGTAATGTTTTCTATGCCTAAGACAGAGGATGACCTTTGCAAATTAATGTACTATTATCTTGTCTATTGTTCTCTACCTTCATTTATTAATTTATTGCAACACACATGACACAGTCATGATGAATTGGCAGTGTTGTGTCCATGTGTAACTCCTCACTGGTCTCAGATATGTGGCCACTGCGCTGCCACTCTACCAGCCACTATTCCACTCTTTTAAATCGTTTTATCTGTGAAGTCCTCCTGTAGCTCAGTTGGTAGAGCATGGCGCTTGCAACACCAGGGTTGTGGGTTCGATTCCCACGGGGGGCCAGTATGAAAAATATATCCATTTAGCTCTGGATAAGAGCTAAATGATTAAAAATGTAAGTCCATCATCTCATGACCAGTGGACAGTTTCACTGGTGTTCAGAGACATGCAGTGGAAGAAACAATATATATTTTATGATGTTTTTGTTGTGTTTTTTTTTTTTTTTTTACAGATATATTGTTTTATTCTTATCTGCATCGTTTTTTTTAACATAAAAACAGACAATTACTCACCAGAGAATTCATTACATTTTTTTTTAATTGGTCAAATATTGCTATTGGAGGATGCTAATGGCTATTGCCTATGAGTTCAGAGTGTGAAAAATATAACCTGGTCCCCCCTGTAGGTGCTCTTGCCAACTCCATTGCTCAAGACAATGTTTGGCATGTGAGTGACAAGGAGTTGGCATGATAGCACAAACAGATTGGCGCTCAGGCTATGGAAAATATACACTAGATGGCACAATTTACCAACATTGCTCTCACAGAGTTACCGACATGGAAGGGACCAATAGAAAACGAAGAGAAGACGGTGATATCGATGGGAATTGGAAATATCCATCAGAAATATTGAACACGGGGGTTTCATCTCTCTCCTCAGCCCATCCCTCTCTCCTCACCCCATCCTCTGTCCTCACCCCATCCTCTGTCCTCACCCCATCCTCTGTCCTCACCCCATCCTTCTCTCCTATTGAGGACCGACGCAGTGTTTTAGGTTTGAGTGTATACAATTCAGCACCATGGACAGCAACACATGGACCAGTTGAGGGGTTCAGTGTTATGTTCTGTATGAATATCAAAACACTGAAATCTCAATATATTATGGTTGCCTGGCTACCCACACTCCTTACTCTGGTCAAACGCTACGCCACGCCCACGGACGTAAGTTTCTTCTCCACAGTGAGTCTGGATCTGAGTACTTCCCCGACCCTTCACCGAATGCGAACACATTCGGGGTCGTCTGATTGGTCCAGAAACCGATGGGTTGGGCCAGAGCCAGAACACAGGTGGGTAAAGCAGCAGTTTGAAAATTCGTCATTGGTTTTGATAATCTGATTGGTTAGAGATGATCCAATCGCTGATGACTTTGTTTTGTACAACACCCCCTTGCCCTTCGTCACCACAAATGACTTCAATGATGTCAGTCTCATACTAAAGTATGTAGCGAACGACAGAGCAGCGGAAACATTAGTTTGTCATCAGGCTAATATTATGGGCCATATACTTCAGCATCCAAGCTCTCTCTTGATATTCGTTTTTATTCAAACAGTGTTCATGTGCATGTAAAATAAGGTTCATGAATATTGAACAGTCCTCAATGTGTTGGACTGAGAAGCCATCAAAGGGGTTTTAGCTAAAGCCCACTGAATGGTGCACAGGATGCAGTAAGAGGTGTTGGACAGAGAAGCCATCAGTTTTAGCTAAAGCCCACTGAATGGTGCACAGTATGCAGTAAGAGGTGTTGGACAGAGAAGCGATCAGTTTTAGCTAAAGCCCACTGAATGGTGCACAGTATGCAGTAAGAGGTGTTGGACAGAGAAGCCATCCGTTTTAGCTAAAGCCCACTGAATGGTGCACAGGATGCATTAAGAGGTGTTGGACAGAGAAGCCATCCGTTTTAGCTAAAGCAGGATGCAGTAAGAGCGAAAGAAGAACCAGATAACAGAGTGTGTCGGCGTCCCAAATAGCACCCTTTTCCCTTGATAGTGCACTACCCTATGGGCCCTGTTCAATAGTAGGGCTGTGATGATACCAGTATCGCAATATTTTTTCCATGCCAAAAATAAAAACACAAAGCAGACCTTCAGTGCCAATTCAATAAACAACAAAAAGTAGTACTAGCTACTAGAACGGCATGTTTCCCAATTCAATAAACAGTCTGGCTCATCAGAATTCTTCATAACATCGTAGCAGAAGATGCCAATAGAATTGGTCCCTGAGAAAGAGCGAATGAAAAGAGGGAAATTGAAAAAAGTGTTAGAATGGGTTGAATATGTGGTGGTGATGGCACTGCAATGGACAGCAGCCGTTTTACGAAAAGTTCTACAGCTGCACCATCGAGAGCATCTTGACTGGCTGTATCACCGCTTAGTATGGCCACTGCTTGGCATCTGACCGCAAGGCGCTACAGAGGGTGGTGCATACGGCCCAGTACATCTTTGGGGCCAAGCTTCCTGCCATCCAGGACCTCTTAAACCAGGCGGTGTCAGAGGAAGGCCTAAAAATTGTCAAAGACTCCAGCCACCCAAGTCACAGACTGTTCTCTCTGCTGCCGCACGGCATGCGGTACAGATGCACCAAGTCTGGAACCAACAAGATCCTGAACACCTTATACCTCCAAGCCATAAGACTGCTAAATAGTTAGTGAAATAGTTAACCAAGTAGCTACCCGGACTATCTGCATTGACCCTTTTTGCCCTAACTATTTTGACTCATCACATATACTGCTGCTACTGTTTATATTATCTAACCTGTTGCTTTATCCCTACTTATATGTCCTGTACATATCTACCTCAACTACCTCGTACCCATGCACATCGACTTGGTACAGGTACCCCGTGTAGATACAGTGAGGGAAAAAAGTATTTGATCCCCTGCTGATTTTGTACGTTTGCCCACTGACAATGAAATGATCAGTCTATACTTTTAATGGTAGGTTTATTTGAACAGTGAGAGACAGAATAACAACAAAAAAATCCAGAAAAACGCATGTCAAAAATGTTATAAATTGATTTGCATTTTAATGAGGGAAATAAGTATTTGACCCCTCTGCAAAACATCACTTAGTACTTGGTGGCAAAACCCTTGTTGGCAATCACAGAGGTCAGATGTTTCTTGTAGTTGGCCACAAGGTTTGCACACATCTCAGGAGGGATTTTGTTCCACACTGTCACGCCCTGACTCTGAGGACTCTTATTTGTTGAGTCAGGGTGTGATTTTCCTTGTTGTGTATATTCATTGTGGTGATGTTCTATGTTGGATTTTCTATGTTTAGATCTAGGATGTCTAGATCTATGTTGGCCGGTGTGGTTCCCAATCAGAGGCAGCTGTCGCTCGTTGTCTCTGATTGGGGACCATACTTATGCAGCCTTTTGGCACTAGTTAGTTTGTGGGATCTTGTTCCGTGTTATGGTATGTTTGTGTGCTACCTTGGACTTCACGTTTCGTTTGTTGTTTTTGTCGTGTGATTATTCGTTTAAATAAACATGTATGCTTATCACGCTGCGCCTTGGTCCGTCCAGTCTGTATACGAACGTGACAGAAGATCCCACCAAACGAGGACCAAGCAGCGTGTTCAGGAAAAAAGCAGGGAGTTAAACAGGAGGTTACTTTAGTAGATGTCCTCCTCGGTTGGGGGAGAATTACGGAGGAGGAGGCCGTCCGCTACCGGAAGGCGATGAAGGAGGATGCCCAGGTAGGAGAGGAGAAACGGCGCCAACAGTGCCGACGACGGAGACCCGAGAGGCAACCCCAAGAAAATGGGGGGGGGCACACGGTGTGGACGACGAGGCAGCAGGAGGCAGCGACAGGGCGGATCTGCAGGTTAGGAGAGGAGGCCACCAGGTTAAGGGGGC